TGAGGAAAAGATCTATCTCCTGGAGACACCCTAAAAACTACCCCTAAATTGGCAGGTTTGCACAGAGAATGACTTTGAGACATCTCACAGAACAGTTGCAGGCAAACAGTGTTTCCCTAGAAGATCCAGCTGCTCTGAAGACATGTAGCTGATGTTCTGGAGAAATTATTCTTTCTTCCAGTACGTGATGATTTAGACAAACTTGATTCACTGATTCAATGATTTGGAACTGAAGCAAAATCCATATGCATTTCCTAAAAATGAAGTTTGGCACAGGTGGAAAACAAGTCTTATTCTGACAAAATTCTTTCTTTACAGGAAACCTGAACCTGAAATACATCCATTAGTGCTAATAAATATTGCTTTAATTCATCCAGTCCATAGTGTCAAGAGATTCATTCATTGTTCTGTGAAAATCTAGCAAAGGTAGTGAGTGAGTGATCATCCAAAGGAATTCCAAATCTCAGTGTTTATGAGGTGTGATTATAATTTGCAGTAGATACTTGTTTTGAAAGGTGTTTAAGTCCTTTTTAATTGCCTGGAAACTTGTAGGCAAGGTGAATGACATGAAGGCTGTGGAGATTTTTTGTGGTATAATTGTATTATAACTTGGAAGAAATTTCTGGAATTCAGTGGAACCGCTTTGGTGCACCGAAGATCATAGAATGACCTGGGTTGTAGGGCACCTCAAAGATCACCTAGTTCCAGCCCCCTGCCATGGGCAGGGACACTTTCCACTAGACCAGGTTGCTTCAAGCCCTGTCCAACCTGGCCTTGAACACTCCAAGGGATGGAGCATCCACTTCTTCTCTGGGCAACCTATGCCAGTGCCTCACCGCCCTCACAGGGAAGAATTTCGTCACAATATCGAATCTAACTCATTTCCTCTGACAGTATGAAGCCATTCCCCCTTGTCCTGTCACTCCAGGCCACTGTACATAGTCTCTCCATCTTTTGTGTAGACTCTCTTCAGGTCTTTAGACACTGGAAGGGACAAATAGGTCACCCTGAAGCCTTCTCTTCTCCAGGTTGAACAATCCCAATTCCCCCAGCCTGTCTCCAGAGCAGAGGTGCTCCAGGCCTTGAACCATCTCTGGCCTCCTCTGCACTCACTCCAGCAGCTCCACGTCCTTCTGCTGTTGGTGACCCAGAGCTGGAGGCAGCACTGCAGGTGGGTCTCACCTGAGTGGGGCAGTCCCCAGACAGAATGTCCCCATCTGTGGGGGGATTCTGCTGCCCACACTGTGGGGATGAGCCCAGAACAGAGTTGGTTTCTGGACCTGGAGTGCACATGACCAGGGCATGTCCAGGCTCTCACCCACCAGTGCCCCCTAAGTCCTTCTCCCCAGGGCTGCTCTCAACCTGTTCATTCCAGATGTCAGACATTGACTTGTCTTACCAGAAGACTTTTCCAGAGTCTAATGTGCACTCAATGTAGCTGGAACCAATGGCAGCAATGCTGACAATCCATTGTGAGATAGGATTTGGATTTAGCTGTACACAGTATCTTCCAATACATTTAGTGTCTTTATTAAGTTAATTGTTTATATGTTCTCCCTATCCGAAGCCCAATGTGTATAAAATGTGGTATCATGTTAACAGAGACAATGTCAGGGTAGACAAAATCAGAAAGGCATTTCAGAAAAGAAGGGAAGTTGAGCACAGATGACCTTGTGGAATTTTTAGAGAGCCAAGCAGAGGTTGTTTTTTATTCAGTAGACTTTTTTTTTTAGCAAGACAAGATTGTTAAGCTCAATCATCCTACCACAGTTGTTTAGTAAATCGAATTTCTTGCCTTGTTTGCTACTCATTGAATTAGTGAATCTCAGCAAGTATGACTTGCCAGAGGGTTTTAAAACATCACTGATGGACCCTTGAGATGTAAGTTTGTCCGTGTGAGGTACATTACAAGTAGCAACAGCAGCAGTGGCACTTGGTTATGGCTGTACGCATGGGTTTTTTTTGGTTATCTCATAGTCTTAGTGCTTTAGATAATGTATTAGCTACTTATTGGGGGGAATTTAGGTGCAAATTAATTTAAGTAACAAGTAAAAATAAATGCCATTTCAGCTTGGATGTTTGATCACATTAAAGAGACACTTTGGGGTAGTACAATATCTGTTCAGTCTTCTTCATTCCTAGTAGATGGTTTAACAGCACAAGCGAAGACTTCGGTTCTAGAAGGGACTTGTTCTTGCACAGCCTGACTCCTCCTTAACTTTATAATTTCTTTATTGGTATTGTACAGCTTTTTGAGTTTTGCTTTCCTGATCTCATCCTCACAGCGTGGGCAGCAGGTGAGGGGAGGATTCTGCCCCTCTGTCCTGCTCAGGTGAGACCCACCTGCAGTGCTGCCTCCAGCTCTGGGTCACCAACAGCAGAAGGACGTGGAGCTGCTGGAGTGAGTGCAGAGGAGGCCAGAGATGGTTCAAGGCCTGGAGCACCTCTGCTCTGGAGACAGGCTGGGGGAATTGGGATTGTTCAACCTGGAGAAGAGAAGGCTTCAGGGTGACCTATTTGTCCCTTCCAGTGTCTAAAGGGGCTCCAAGAGAGCAGGAGAGGTACTTGGGACAAGGGCCTGGAGTGACAGTACAAGGGGGAATGGGTTCCCATTGCCGGAAGGGATATTAGGGAGAAATCCTTCCCTGTGAGGGTGGTGAGGCACTGACATAGGTTGCCCAGAGAAGCTGTGGCTATCCCATTTGTGGAAGTGTTCCAGGCCATGTTGGATGTGGCTTGGAGCAAATTGGTCTAGTGGGAGGTGTCCCTGCCCATGGCAGGAGGTTGGAACTAGATGATCTTTGAGATCTCTTCCAACCCAAACTGCTTTATGACTCTATGAAAATGTATATTCTTAATGTGAAGCCCTCAGGAATGTAACGTGGCTTTAGCTGCATTGTGCAAAGGAGAAACACTCTTTGCTGCTTGAATCTTGCCTTATTTGCCATCTGGATTTTCTATACTTTAGCTTTCAATTGCTCTACCTTATTAAGCAACTTTGCCAAGAGTAAAAAGCCTTATTTCTCTTTTTTTTTTTTCTCTTTAAATGTGTTTTTAAATCAGAGTCAGTTCTGCTCTTAACCTTCTCTTCACTAAATTAATTAAGCTGACTGCTTCTCTAGTACTATGTCATGGTGGCACATGCATATATTAAATAATCTTATCTTCTCACTCAGAGCACATGAGCTCATGCTAAACTCATACTCTTAAGTTCATGCTAGAAACCTTCATAGTGTGTAGTGATCCTCCATTCACAGAGATTTTTGTAATCTACTCCCTAGTCAGTTGTTAAGTGGTTTGTTAAGCAATAAATAGATTTGTAGAATGCTAATACTTAAGCTCAAACATCAATCAGCATTAACATATCCTGGCAAAACTAATACTTTCCTGGCCTGTATTCATTTTATCCCTAACTCTTCAGCAGCATTGGCTTTACCAGAGCTCCCTGAAAGAACTTGCAAAGGAATCAGCAGGATATTCTCTGCCTGGCAGTCAACACTATTAAGTATTGATGAAGAGCACAGTTGTTTTTATGTGTAATAATGCATTTTACCAGTTAAAAAGTAACCCAGATCATCAGAAAACTCCATAACTTGTGTTGGCATCATACTCTTTCATCTGTACTGTTGGTCATTGAAGGAAATGTTAGTTCAAATGCGTATTTTAAAATACTTCTGTATATTTTTGTTCATAAATATTTCAGCCAGTTTCAGTTGTTTATTGTTCTTCCCTTTAAACCATTTTTATGGTGCCTTGGAAAGTCAAAGAGGAATAAAACTTGCCGTGATTTAATGAGTAGTAGTATGTAGATAGCATCTTTTCCCCCAGTATCACAAACTCCTTCTCTGCCCTCTGCCCTTTGCTAGGGGCATATCACAATGGTTATTGTTTTTTTCATCTCATCTCCATAGTCTTGATATCTGATGTTCATCTTCAAAGAGAATTCTGTAGTCTAGTGACAGTCCAAAGACAAATCCTGATGATTTCCAATTTGTCTTGTGTTGAAGGCATTTGGAAGGACTCTGTTTCAGAGTCTTCAGCTTTTTCACTCACCCAGACAAGCTCAACATTAATACATTTTTCACAGCAAAGCAAAAAGTTGTGTTCTTGAATGCAAAATGGGGAAGAAAGTGTGAAAGACAGGAATAACAAAGGTGCCACTGCAGTGGCAAAACTGCACATCCAGATCATTCTTAATGCTAAAGCTCCTCTCTGAGGTTGTTTGACTTTATGGAATGAGCCAGTACTAAAGGGGATAATCCTTTTGCCAAAATTCCCCATCCAGCCTGGCCATGAACACCTCCAGGGGTGGAGAGTCCACAGCCTCTCTGGGAAATCTGTGCCAAGAATAACTAATTATCTCCAAGGGTATTTTGAACCTTTCTCCCATCAAGTTGTGTTCCTCTAGCACAAGAAGAATCTTAAGCACTATGGAAAATCAACAGTTTTTGATAACCGTTTCCATGGTTCAAAAAATATTCTAAGAGTTTTACCTTGATTAAAGTGACTGCAGTTTAATTCTTGAAGGTTTTACGTCTGTATTTGACTACTGTGTGATGTAACAAAACATAAACTGCTCATACTTCATTTGCATGTCATTTAAATGGAGCTATCACCATTGGATCTCTTCAGTGTTAACTAGTTAACTAGTGTTAACTAAAGAAAGACATGGACTTCCTTAAAACACCTACTGAGTATGCATGGAAGAGGCTGTGCTAATTCAGCTCTATGGAACATCCTCAATTTTGCCCAGAGAAGCTGTGGCTGCCCCATCCTTGGAAGTGTTCCAGGCCAGGTGGGACAGGGCTTGGAGCAACCTGGTCTGGTGGAAGGTGTCCCTGCCCATGGCAGAGGGGTTGGAAAAAGATGATTTTTAACATCCCTTTCAACCCAAACCATTCTGGGATTCTATGAAATGTAGCTGTGTTGAACTTCTTCCTGCAGCCCAGGGAGGGAGGGAGGCTGAGCCTCATGGTGTGCCATGTTTTCTCTCTCCCCAGGGATGCGACAAGGCAATGACGTTGGCACACAGTATCGCTCAGCCATCTACACCTTTTCTCAGGAACAGATGGAAGCTGCCTTGAGATCTAAGGAAGAATATCAAAAGGTAACACTGGGCAGGGGGTGGAATTACTTCACATATGATCAGAGGTTGACAATGTCACCAGTAAGCACAAAATCACTCCTTGTGCTGTGCACTTTCCACGTTGCTATTGGAGCTCCTCATTCCAATACTGAAACCGTGTCATAGTTGCTTTACATTCTGACTTTTAAGAGTTTGTGTGTGTGTGTGAGTCATTTTGTAACTATGCACAAAGAAAAATAGTTCCTTATGCAGAGGTACATTGAATCTCTTCTAGAGATTTTCTAATGTGGGTGCACCAGAGCAGCAATCTGTGATCTTAAAGCTATCAAGTGTCCCTGGAACACATACTTTGAAGATTGTAGCCAAAATCTCAGACACACGAGTTCTTGAGCTTTGAGGGATGGTCTTGATTGATTTTTGAGCTTGATAATTCAGGATAACCCACCTGCTGCTTATAAGATGCTTCTATCAAGCCATTCCATAAATGTCTTTGATGGGATGTGACAGCCTGTGACTTCCTGAGAGTATTTGTTTTGACACAAGGATTTATATGAGAGAAGATCAACCAATTCCCTTTCTATACACAGTCCTATTTTTCAGGGAAGATGGATTCAGCCTCTTTCCTGCCACATAAGCTATTATTTAACTGAAGGCAGAGGGATTAGTGTCCTGCAGTGTCTCTGCATTGTGATTGCTGTCTGATCTGCCTAGTGCTCTTGTCAATGAAAGATCCAGATTGTACAGCAGAGAAATATAAATTCTTATAACTTAGATTAAAAAACCCACTCGCCTAGGACATCAGAGCAATAGACAGTAACTCTTGAATAGTGCTAAAAGAATCTCCGTGTTTATGCATTTATTTATACAATGACTTCACTAGTGTTATGTTAACAAACCAGGAGTTTTGGTGAATATTTAATGGTAAAAGTCAACAACTATTTCTTGAGGAGGTACATCTGTCAGAAGGTCCAAAAAGGAGGTTCATGTGCTGCAGTATTGTGCAACAGTTTGGTTTTCACCAAGGTGTATATGACTGGTGAGCTGAGCTCTGGGTGCACTTATAGGGCTGGTTCCTATGCCCAGCTGCAATTCTTTTGCTTGCAAAGAGATGCTCTGAACTGCAAGTAAGTAATTAGCAAGTTGTTCTTGGTGTGATAACTGTGCATGTAAATGAAGTGTTCAATGGCATATTTTCTCCTGCGTAGCTGAACACATGGGGTAAGTCAGTCTTGGAGGTGTTTGCCTGTGTTAACAGAGTGGTTTCAGAAGATATTTATCATTCAGAACTTCTTTTTTTGCTCATTATTTACCTTAGATCCTTTTCCAAATTCCTTTTATTCCTTTCTGTTAGCATCTGCTGACCACTGTCACCCTGTAAACCTTACAGCTTTCAGTTTGCTTTCCCAACTCTATTATTCTCTGCTGTTATTTGTCATTAAATTAATCCTGACATGAAAGCAAAATTGCAATGTAGGAGATTGAAATATGATATTACAGAAATTTCCATCATCAAATACATTTCCTTAATGGCACCATTTAAAATTTACCTACTTTGAAGTCTATCACCATTTGAAAAGTGTGTATAATTAGTACATTTATATAATTAGGTACAACTGTAAGTGAGTACATGTAGAGTTTGTTTTTGCACTGAAGTAGGGAATGAAGGGACAGTGCTGCCAACTAAGGAAACATAGCAAATATGTACTGAAATTCCTAGGGGATATGTGGTTTCTATGTATTATTAACAACAATATCTACAATATTATCTGCTGAGGTATTGCAGCAGTAGTGGAATGGTTGCATGGGAAACACACTGAGCAAACAGTTTGTTCAGGAATCCCTTTTCATATTAAATGTTTTGCATGACATTAATGTAAATGTAACACAACCACTTTCCTTATTATTGCAGCAATTTAAAAGCAATCCTAAGCTCTTCCGCCACATAATCATGGATAAAATCACGTGGGGATGGCACAACACTTCATTTTTCAATGCTAAGCAGTGGTTCATGCACCAAACTGAGCAAGGACTAACATACTCTGAGTACAATAACTGCAGTGTCTATGGGTGACTCTAGAGATTTTTGGCACTGTAAAGGAATAAAACCAAAATGTCATTTATTTGTTTGTGCACTGAATAATTGTGCATGTGCTCTCTAGATGTGTCTTTGAGCTGAGGATCTGGAAAAGCACTCAGAATGGTCTTCAGCCAGAAAATGGTGTGTTTGCTACATGAGTTTTTTCTGAAGGACGGGGAGGGTTGATAATCTAACGGAAACATTTTTTTGTTCACTGAGGATAGAAATCATCTAAACCCAAGGTTAGTATCATGAATTCCTGCCTCCAAGGCAGACTAACCAGAGGTGCTGGCTCTTCACTGGAAGTCAAATAGCGTGTTCAGCTCTGTCTATGTTTAACAATCAGTATGGGCTGGAATGAGCAGAACAAAACAGTTTGTACCGAAGACCAAAATGTGTATTTCAAGAGGGTTTGTTCTTCAGTAGCTGTATTTTGGTGCTCCGAACCGTGTGCCACTAGCAGGTGGAAGTCAACATCTTAGTACACAGCACTGCTGAGGCACCTCCAGTCCTGGGGGCAGTTCTGGGCCCCTCACAAGGACATTGAGGGGCTGGAGCATGCCCAGGGAAGGGAACAGAGCTGGGGAAAGCAGGAGTGCCTGAAGGAGCTGGAGGGGCGCAGCCTGGAGAAAAGGAGGCTCAGGAGAACCTTCTGCTCTCTCCAAAACGCTGACTGGAGGTTGGATCCAGGTTGGCATCGGTCTAGTCTCATGGGTAACAAGTGATAGGAATGGATGAAATGGCATAGCATAGCAACTGATTTGCTTTGTCACAGGCATCAATAGGAAGTGCCAGCCTCATCACTCCAGGGTATATATGTTCCTGGTACTGTTGAATGTGTCCCTGATCACCTGGTCATGGAGACAGGTATTTGTCTTTATGCCAGTTCCTGTCTTGTTCCACTGATTTTAGTAAAGTAGAGCTGATGTAATGGGTTGATCTTACAATCCCTGGGCTGGTTAAGGGGGTTCTGCTGTCAGAATCCTGGAGGACCTGAGGTGAAGCTTGAGACTTTCCTCTGCTCTGAACCTTCTTACTCTCTACAACTCCCTGAAAGGAGGTTATATCCAGGTGGGAGTCAGTCTCTGCTCCCAGGTAACAAGGGCTGCAACAAGAGGCAATAGCCTCAAGTTGCACCAGGTGAGGTTTAGGTTGGATATTGGGACCAATTTCTTCCCCTAAAGGGTTGTCCTGCCCTGGCACAGCTGCCCAGGGCAATGGAAGTCCCCATCCCTGTAAGTATTTAAAAACCATGTGGATGTGGCACTTGGGGGCATGGTTAGTGGTGGCCTTGGCACTGCTGGGCACAGGTGGACTCGATGATCTTTGAGGGCTTTTCTAGCCACTTTATGATAAGTGACAATGATCAGGAGGTTTATTACCAGCCTATGAGTGTGAACCACCATGTGCCCTGAGCCCAGATATCCTGCAAGGTTACATCTATTTTAAGTTGTGAAACTTGTTGCTGATTCCTGCAGCTGTTTTAACAGCTGAGAAATGGCAATGCAGCAATGAATATGCATCAAGCCATGTGTCTTTAGCAGTTGATGAAGCTGAGAGCATACAGTCAGAGTTAGCCAGTGGTGATATGTATTATATTAGAATAGTGCTGCTGGTAAATGGTAGCACAATGTAAGTGTAATCAGAAAAACATAAAATGAGGGCCAGGGCTTGGTGAAATCACTGTGAATGAGCTGTTCCATCAGTTTTGCCTGAAGCTGAAATTTTTTAATACAGTTGAACCTGAGGTTACTCAATTTTCAAGACAGTCTCTAGGCTGGATTTGGTTTTCAAATGAATTATCAATGCAATTGTAATCCAAATAGAGAAATCAGGGTGGGAAGAAGTTTGCATTATTTTTTTCTGAATCAAGCACTAACACTGGATTTTCAAGCTCCAAAAATATACTGAAGCCCTTTCCTCTATAGAATCCTTGAATGGTTTGGATTGGAAGGGACCTTAAATACCCTCTAGTTCCAACCCCTGCCATGGACAGGGACACTTTCCACCAGCCCAGACTGCTCCAAGCCCTGTCCAACCTGGCCTGGAACACTCCCAGGGATGGAGCAGCCACAGCTTCTCTGGGCAACCTGTGCCAGTGCCATACCACCCTCACAGCCAAGAATTCCTTCCCAATATCCCATGTCTCCCTGCCCTCTGGCAGTGGGAAGCCATTCCCCATGTCCTGTCCCTCCAGGCCCTTGTCCCAAGTCCCTTTGTAGCTCTCTTGGAGCCCCTTGAGGCACTGGAAGGGGCTCTAAGGTCTCCCTGGAGCCTTCATTCACTTCTCCAGGCTGAACATGCCCCAGGTCTCCCAGCCTGGATCCAGAGCAGAGTTGATAGATATGTTCTGCAGGATAGGAGAAACAGTGAATTAGCACTGGGCAGCAGAAGATGCAGCAGCGTCTGCAGCTCAGCTGTTGAACAGATACTGTGAGACTTCCAGCAACTTGCTGTGGGATGATGTGAGAATAAACTAACAAAACTCTCATGTGCTAAAACAAAAGCTTTTTATTTTTTTATCATATAAAATAGATTGAAAAGTTGGAGATTCCTGGCCATTACAATGAGCTCTGGAGCAGCAAATCTGCAAGGAGATGAAGTGGTTGGGATTGTATTTGTCAAGGTTGGAGGAAAGGCTGTTTACAGACCTCCAGGATTGACAGTTCTGAGTTGGTAATTCCATGAAGAAATGTCTTGTGGAGTGAATTTACACCATTCTTCTCTGTGTGTTTAGAAGAGGCTTTGCTTAGGAGATGGGTTTTCATGTGATTTTAGCTGGGAAAAGTGAAATGGCTCTTTTAAAAGTAGATTGTTTTTATTAAAGCAATAAAATAGTCAATAAAAAATAACACCTGCTTAGGCCTCTTCAAATTATGTCTAATTCAGAGCTTTACATATCGAATTAGCTCTGCTTCACTCTGATGTGAGGAGCAGTGACTTG